CATGCTTTAGTAAGGCACATGCTTTAGTGAGGCCCCATTGCTTTAGTAAGGGTCTGTGCTTCAAGTACGCCGTACCTATCTGATATCAGCGTATCATCCTTGGCGTTCCTTCCCTAGTGCCCGGGACTGACAAGCTATGCCGTCATAGGACCCACTCTAGTCATTTTATACCAAACCAGCACCTCGAGCCGGGGCCATGACAGAGTTGCGGGGCTTCTCACAGTATCATCGTACTCGTACATATTATGCTGTTCAGGGCCCTTTGACGGAGGTCGGAGTCATCATCACACATGATACTCGTATGCGTGGGGAGACACTTCTTCAATGGCAGCCGCCTGTCGTCTATGACGGGAACTGCTCACTGCTACCGTCGAGTAATCTGTACTAGGAAGGAGTACAGGTAGGCATCGTCAACTCCCCGGTCACCGCCGATAAGACTCCCAACTCACGTGAGCCCAGCCCTATGTTTGGTCAGGGCAAAAGTTATCCATACTCGGTCCTCTCCTCTTTCGGTGAATACTACTCTTCTGTAACTTGTAAGTGATATTCATGCTCGTGCTTGTAATCTGTAGAGGAGGGTAATCTGTACTGCATGCTATCGTTCTGTGTCAGCTCCGTCAATCTGTCGACGCACGGACCAACTCAACGGTCCATCACCACCATCCCTCCCTTCCTCCACCCTGGCCTGTCATCTCTTCTTAATTCCCCTCCATCGTCATTTACCCACCGTGGTCCATTGGTCTGGCTCTTACCCTTATGGAGGATCATCGTTTTTTTTTGTCGGTGTGGGACTTTTTTTTTTTCTTTCCTTCCCCCCCCCCCCTCTCTTCCTTTTCTTCTCTTTTCTTATTCTTCTTCTGTTCTCTCTTTCATCCTCACTTCTTCTTTCTCTCTCTCTCTGTCACTCTCTATTTCTTATCGGCATCTCTATCTCTTATCGGCACTCCACGTCGTATGCATCACTCTCGTGCGTCGATACTCGTACTCGTGCGGCATGGATACACGGATTAATGCAGGATTCAGGCATGATCATACTGTGAGCATCTTAATGCTCTACTCGTACAGAGATCGCCGTCCTATGGAGATATACCCGCTCTCGCCCTCAAACATTGTCCCATACTCCCCCCTGCTTATATGTAATTAGCTAATTAACCAGTCCCATGCCGAGTCGTCTAACACTATCAACATGTTCGAAGGTGAAGAAGAAGAAAAGAAAAAAAAAAGGGGGGGGAGGGGGACGGCGTCATCCTTGTAATTTACCCATATGTACAATGACGATGTTTGGTCATTCTTCTAGATCAGCTTTTTTTTTTCCTTTCCTTTTTCATTTCTTCCCTACGGAGTCCCCCTCGTGTCATCTTCCATACATATCTTACTCCGTACCTCCCATACATATCTCGTACATGTACACGTAGATGTTCGAATTTCTACCACTCAGTATTGTTTCTTCATTACCTCGTCGTACTACCCGTACATGTACGAGTAAGATGTAGGTAGCAAACGATGACGTACTGCCAAGACCTCTTCCTCATTCCCATCCCCTGTCCCTGTCAGGGTCCCTGTCAGGGTCCTCCTCTTTCCGCATCAGTCCCGCCAACAGTAGTAGCAGTGGTAGTAGTAGTAGTAGTAGTAGTGTTATCTCTAGCACTATTACTCGTAGTAATAGTGCGCATCCCCTCTTCGGCACCTCCATCACCAGTGACCTCACCCGCGACACCCGCACCCGCACCCGCACCCGCACCCGTACCCGCACCCGCACCTGAACCTGCATCGCCGTCGCCATCGCCATCGCCAACGCCATCACCATCGGCTCCGGTACCAGTCTCCGGTCCGTTCTCGATCCTCTCCACCCACCCATCCCCCCTACGGATGGCGAGCTGCAGCCCCGCGGCCGAGGCGACCAGCAGGCCGGCCGAGATGGTGGAGAACCAGCCTATGCCGACGGCCTCGACGATGGGCAGGACCACGGCCGTACCCAGGCAGCCGCTGAGGTACCTGACGAAGAAGTTGGCGGCAGCCACCTCGGCGCCCCTGCCGCCGACGACGTCGAGGCAGTAGGTGTTGAGGGAGGGGAAGCAGAAGAGCTGGCCGACGCCCTGGGCGAACATGGCGATGACGGGTACCGGGATGCCGCCGGCGCGCATCTCGACCGTCCAGCCGTAGACGAGGACGCAGGCCGGCATGAGCAGGCCGATGAAGGGCACGGCCGACCGGATGCGGTCCTCGGGCACCCTCCTCCCGCCCCTCCTCCGGATCCACTCCTTGACCGTCCTGTCGGCCCAGCGGCCTCCGCCGAACGTCCCGAGCAGGTACCCGCTGCCGGGGGCGAGGTAGAACAGGCCCGACAGCAGCGGCGACTCCAGCCCGAACCGCGGGTTGAGCACGTACCGTATCGGCGTCAGCAGGCTGTACATGTTCCACACCAGCGCCGCGCTCGCCGCCCCCACCAGGCACAGGTTCGCGTGTCGGAACCACCGGAGGATGCGCAGCGGGTTCGCCTGCGAAGCCACCGCCCGCGCCTGCGACCACCTTCCCGTCCAACCGGTCCAACCGCTGCTTGCCCCCCGTCGCCGCCGCCGCCGCCGCCGCCGCCGCCGCTGCTGCTGCTGCTGCTGTCGCAGGTCATCCATGCCCTTCCGGTGGATCGTCTCCGGCACGAGGAAGAAGACCCCGGCCAGACCGGCACCCGCCAGACCGGTCTGCAGCCAGAATATCGTCCGCCACGACGAGTACGTCACGATTATACCCCCCAGGAACGGACCGAACGCCGGCCCGAACAGCGTGCCTGACATGAACCATCCTACTGCCGTGCCGCGTTCGGTAGGTCGGTAGATGTCGCTAGAGGTGGGTATGTCAGCTCTTCTTCTTCTTCTTCTTCTTTTCTCTTCGTCTTCCTTCTTCCTATATCTCATTTCTTCCTCTTCTCCATCTTCTTCTCATATTCCCTCTTCTTACACCCACCTGGACGTATTGTCGATTATACCCAAGGTATCCACGTGTACGTGTATGTGTGCATGTGTGCATGTGTGTGTGTGTGTGAGTGAGAATGTGTGTAACCTACCCAATACAAGCTGAACCGAGCAGGATAAAGGCCGTACCCTCAAAGGCCGAGAGAGCACGAAAGATGAAGAAAGACACCAAGTTGGGCGCCAGAGCCGTAGCCATGCTCAGTACCGTGAAGGCGACAGCCGTGATAAGTGTGATCTAATTTTTTTTTTAAATTTTTTTTTAAATGTTTAGTCAATGCTCTCTTCTCTCTCCTGCTTGATCTTTTCTTCTCTCTTCTTCTTTTCTTGATTCTCCCTCTTTCTTCTCAGCAAGCTCTGATTGAACGACATACCGGTCTCCTTCCAAACAGCTGACTGATGGGACCCCACACGATGGGCGAAACCGCCATGAGAGCCATGTACCCGGCGTTGCTGAGGTTGACGATGGACCCGGTGGTGCCGTACGTGGCCGCCACCTCGGGCGTCGCGCTCAGCACCGACGTGCTCGATATGGGCGAGAGGAAGGCGCAGAAGGCCAGCACGCCGACTATGCACGACTTGCGCCACCTGCTCAGCCTGTCGTAGACCTCGTCGCCCGCCTCGCGGTACGGATCCTCGTCGTCTTCTTTCCCCCCCGCCCCATCTTCTCCGGAGACCGGCGTACTGCGACGACGGGCTGCTGCGCTGCTGTCGGTCACGGGTTCGAGGGCGTCTGGTCCCGAGAGGTTGGATGCCGTGCGGTAAGGCACAGACGTCAGTACGCCGCCGCCGCCGCCGCCGCCGCCGCCGACCCGGATGGATTCAGAGGGCTGGGAGGATTGGTATGATGGCCTCGCCGACATGGTGTCGGTTGTACTCTTTATGTTTTTTTTTTTAAAAAAAAAAACCAAGGCAAAAGAACAAATACGATTTTCGGATGAGGAAGGTGTGAGTTCTTTCCCCCCCTCTCCCCCCCTCCCCTTCTCTCTCTCTCTCTCTCTTTCTCCCGTTCCCTCCCCTCTCACCACCAATGTAATCACCCCGAATGTGTAAGTCCCTGTAGATATATATCCCTGGATGGGTACGAATCCTGAAAGGAGGAAAATGCAGATCAGAATGCAAAAAAAAAACGGAATTATATATCCGGCGTCGGAGACTAGGTAGAAAAGGACGGTAAGCGATGAAGTCGGACGAAAGACATCAAACCGGTTTGGTATCTGCTCATAAAGCAGCACACGGAAGATAAAAGGTACAGATGATGTAAGAATATAAAAATAAGCAAGGTTAAAAATAGAAAACACATTGTAGAGAGAAGAAGAGGAAGAGGAAGAGAAGGTATCAGGGATCAATTGGGCAAAGAGAGAGAGCATCCTTATCTCGGTAATTCACACATTTCCCCAACGTCGGCTATCTAACAGTCACAGTCACATCGGATCTTGATTCCCCTCCCCCACCCCCTTCCCTTTACAAGGTCCTACCCGTACCCTGAACGGGAACGAGAAAGGAACAGATTCATGCCGTAATCATGTCGCCATATTACATGCTACTCCTGTACTCGGGCCTTTTCTCACCATCCCTGCGAATAACGGAACCTGTCTCTTCTTCTTTCTTCTTCTTCTTCATCTCCATCATCTTCTCTTTCTTTTTTATTAGGCTATATGGAGTGTACCAGTAAGTACGAGTAGGAGGAGGAGGAGGAGTAGGGGAGGTTTCGGTCTCCCCCCCCCCCGCCTCATCGGCTTTAATCGGCCGTGTCATAATACCGGTCCGTCGTATCGGCACTGACTCCACCCACTGCCGAGTCCCGGTATGCGAAGGGTGTCACGTGGAACATAGGTAGATGTGAATGATTGTCTGATGAAAAGTTGATATGACTGAATCTCGACTGCACCCGGTATCGACTCCCGAGACAAACTCCAAGCTTTTCTACCCGTACGCGATATGTAATATGCAACAATGTTGAGTTAAACCGGCCATATGAAAAGACTTTGGGGGGGAAGAAGACAAACGCCATCCTGATGCCATGACTGGAAAAGAGACAAGAAAAAAAGAAGAAGAAAGCTACACCGACAGCTTGTCAACACGCTCACGCAACACCCTATCAACAGGCTGCATATTCCTCTGGATAACCACATTCTCCCTGCCGCCCAGCGACACGACGCGGAGCCACTCGGGTGCCACCTCGGATGCGATGACGCGGACGCACGCTGCCGCCTCCTCCCTGGAGACGGGCACCCTCAGCGAATCCCTCAGACGGTCGAGCACCGCGGCCATCGGAAAGGCCTGGCGAGGCAGGGAGGCCGGCTTGGACAGGCTGAGCATCGAGATTGTCGACGACACGTCGGCGACGCGGCTGAGCGCGGCGCGGCGCTCGAGCTCGGGGCCCGAGGGGGGCAGCCGGGCGCTGTCCCGGGCGAGCTGCCTGTGGCGGAGACGGTCGAGCAGGCTCATCCTGCTGCCGTCGCGGTTCAGCATGGGCGCGGCCTGCTTCCGGGCGTCGCGGTCCTGCTGACGGGCCACGACGTCGTTGTGCAGCTCCGTCAGGGCGCGCTGCCCCCTGGCCAGGATCGGGTTGGCGCCCAGGCCGAGGTCGCGGTTGGCGATGTCGGCCCGGGGCAGGTCGGCGAGCGAGAGGGCGTCGAGGGAGACGCCGACGTCGTCACCGTCCGTCATCGCGTCGCCGTCGTCGCGGGCGCGGTCGGCGCACACCCGTCGCAGGCCGTCCTCGAACTGCCGGCACAGGCCGTCCTCGTCGACCGAGGGGGAGGCGTCGGCATTCAGCTCGACGCACACCTTGCCGCGGCCGTAGTCGGTCACGAGGAAGGGCGACCTGGCCGCCGCAGATGCCTGCAGGGCCACGCACCGCCTGATGTCGTCAATCGTGACCTGGCGCTTGCCCCAGGCGAGCGAGATGTTTGGTGCGAGAGAGCGCACGTCGACGGGGATGTTGCTGCCGCTGTGTGCCATCTGGATGGTCATGGACTTGACGAAAGCCCTGTGCAGGTCGACCAGGTCGGCCAGGTGCGGGGGGAGGCCATTCTCGCCTGGTCCTGCCGTCGGGGCCTTTATGGCCGCCCTGTTGAAGGCGTCGTCGATCCTCGTCTGGACGGTCCGCCCGGACTTGGCGAGCAGCGCGCCCTCCGAGGCCTCGTGCGCTGGCTCTGCTCGTCGGGACGGCGCAGGGGCACCACCCCCGGCCGTGACCTTCCCCCTCCTGGCGGTGGCGGACGGCTTCTTCGGGGGGGAGACAGCCACGGGCTTCTCGACGGCCGGGAGCGACGGCTTCCTGGTGCGGCGGCAGGCCCGCTTCGAGGAGGTGGGTGCGGCGGCAACCCGGTCGTCGTCGTTGGGGGGGAACGACACGGTCCGAGGCGTGATGGGGCTGCCGTCGTCCTGGATCTTGCGCTTGCGTGTCGCGGCAGGAGAAGCGGCGGCGGCGACGGAGGGTGATGTCGTTGCCGCCTTCTTGCCTTGGTTGGGGGTGATTCGGTTGCCCTTGGATACGCGACCGAATCTGCCGATTGCCTGGGTAGGATTGACCGTCGTCGTCGGCTGAGCCCTCTTTGTCGGACGAGCCATGACGGTTTACTTGGGGAGGGGGAAGTAGCGAGAGGGCGTGCGTATGTGGCTCTTTCCTTGTTCCTCGGTGGAGAGAGTAAGGATGGCAGTTTAAAGAAGGTGCGGATGATTCTCCTTCTCCTTTTATTTTCCTTTCTTCTTTTCTTCTTTTTTTTTTTGTGAGGAATGAACGGAGGAGTGCAGGTAAAGATTTATTTTTCCTTCTTCTTGTCTCTTGAAATCAGGAAAGTGGAATGGACCTGGTGGAGAAGAAATCGGGGGTCTGTTCAAGGGGAGACGACGACGCGTCGAGACGCGTTTTTTTTTTTCTGGTGACCAGAAGACGCGACCGAACACGTAGGGTGGGAGGATGGTGCATCCCCGCATCGCCGGGCCAACCTGCAGTAAATACCACCCATATATATATATGTAATCTGTACTCCGTACTCGCGCATACTCGTACATGATCTCTACAAGTATCAATATTATTGATGCGAACTGGTAGTATTGTCCCAGCATGGGCAAAAACTCGTATATCCTGAATCAAGAGGGAAGGAAGATCTTTTTTTTTTCTGGTCAAGACTCGCTTCCACGAGACGTTAAGGATACTAGACACCATCAGCTGCGTTCTCTGGGCCGAGGCCGGAGAATGGGATATGACGTCGGGCACAAGGAAGATCAATGCAGTATCGGGACCACATGTCAAGTACCAGCAGTAGTAGAGCTAACAATCCGCACAGCAACACACAGCCGCGAATGCGTACACTGCTGACAGGTAGAAGAAAGTATTATGTAGTTTTGGCATGTCTGTATCACGACCGGAGATGACGACTGAGTATACTCATGATTTGTTGCTAGATAGTAACAGACATGAGAGGAGCAGGAGAGAGAAGGAAAGAAGATATAGTCAGCAGATCAACCCGATTGGCTCTTCCGTCGTTGCTGCTCATCATCTTTTCCGACACACCCCGACCTGTAAATCCAAATAATAGCTAATTACCCTTACTGTCCCGTCCTTGCCGCAAAAGACATGTAAAGGGGGGGGGGGGGGGGGGGGGGGCAGGAATATACGTTGGAGGAGAAGGCAGAGAGTTGAACGCGGATGCTCTCACACATAGACAGGTGGATAAAGAGAGAGAGAGAGAGAGAGAGAGAGAGAGAGAGAGAGAGAGACTATGAAAAGCATCCGATGAGCTCCGTTTGGAGTGAGGAAATGTGTCACGACCCTCAGTTCCGAGTAATAGTACAGTTTGCCTCTCTATCTATAAGAGCGAGAGGCAAGAGAGAGATTGTGCGTGCATGCGTGTATGGACAGCCCCAAGGTGTGGTGTATACAGACGGATACACGTCAACAGCTGATGGCCCTGCTATCGACGCAGAATCCGACGGGACTGGGTGGGGGAGGAGCCGGGACAGACCAGCCTTCCTGACTCGGGGTCTCGAGGCGGACATGAGTGGACTGAGAGGATGCCTGGCCGGCGAGAGAGCTGCTGAGGTGGGCATAGAGGTCGTTGGCCGTGTCGATCTTGAGGGGATGCCTGGACGGCGAGACGGGCACGGGGGCGAAGATTTGACGGGCAGGCATCCTGATCTCGTGAAGCTCTGGGGTTGGGGTGCCCTGCTTAGTGTCTTGGAGATGACGATCAACTTTTGGAGGGAATACTTTCTTACCTGTCAAGGCCCGAAGACGGAAGTCTCTGACGTCTGGTTGAGATCAGACTCGTCGGAGCTTCGACGGGGAGTTGGGGCGAGGGAGAGGGAAAGAGAGAAAGAGAGAGGAGGGTTGGAAGTTGGAAGTTGGAAGGTGAGAAGAGACGAGAGGTTGAAGTTGGAGGGTGAGAAGGAGAGGATAGTCGGAGGTTTAAAGTAAAGGTGAAGTGAGACAAGAGCCGGGGAGGAGACAAGAGATAAGTACGAGTAGGGGGGCAAACCGGCAAATGGCAAAGGGCAAAGGATAGAAAACAAGGTAATCTGTGACTCTGTCTCTCAAAAGCTGGGGCAAAGCTGGGGCAAAGCTTCAGAGGGAGTCGGGGAGATATACGGGGAAGACGGGGAAGGGGGGGGGGGAAGACAGCCTCAAACAAGGCAAGGCTAGAAAATGAAAATGGGGGTGTTTCTTTTTTTTGGGGGGGGGGGGGCAGTGGCCACTGGATACACGTTTTGACTCCTTCTATTCATATAATACTTTATTATAATTCATATAACTTTTATATATATATAATTCATATGATTCATATGATTCATATAATTTATATAATTTATATATCGTATAGAGTACTACGGAGTAATACATCGATACATGCATACATCATGTTCTCAATCCTCTTCTGATCCCTTCTCTTCACACACTGCCCTCTTTCACCGATCCGCCACCGCTCTACATCATCACAAATAATCGGGATATATATATATATATTTGTACAGGTATGAGCCGTCTCTTCCGTCTCTTTTGCATTATAACTCGTATGCTCTCCCTGTCATGTATGGAGTGAGGAGATACTCGTACGCAAGTTGACAGGGGGAAAAAGAAAAGAAAAGAAAAGGTACAGGCCATGTCTCGTAAGAAAGGAAGTATTGGCTACGCGGAACATCCGGACTGGGAGAAGGGGGTTGTCATGATCTTCCGTTGTGGCGCCTGTCTGATGGAAGAAGAAAGAAGAGAGGATTGACGCTTGACCTATTTGCCGCCAATAGAAAAGAAAAAAAGAAAGAAAAGTGATGCCATTGCAGGGATGTCAGTCGATACCACCAACCTTTCCCATCTGTTGCGGGACAGCTCAACTTGTCTAACCCTTGGTGAGAGTGGTGGCAATATTGCCTGACCTCTTTTTTTTTTTTTTTTTTAAATCCTTCTTCTTCCTCCTCTTCTCCCCCCCTTTTTCCCTTCCCTTTCCTTTCTTGATTGCGGACATGATACAAGTAGTAGTAGTAGTAGTAGTAGTAGTAGTAGTAGTAGTAGTAGTAGTAGTAGTAGTAGTAGTAGTAGTAGTAGTAGTACTATTTAGTAACAATAGTAGTAATAGTAGTAATAGTGGTCGTAGTGGTAGTAGCGGTAGTAGTGGCTGTAGTGGCCGTAGTGATAGTGGTAATAGTGGTAGATAGTACAGATCTGTCGTAGCAGTAGTATGAACTCGTAGGCTCTAGCACATGTAGCACATGCATGCTCATGTCCTACGGGCTACTTATCATGCCGAATTCACCCTCCCTCATGTACGCACCAGAAACATGTTTCAGAAGAGAGCCCGGCGTCATGGCAGTGCATCTCAGTCCTGTAGATCGAATTGCAACTGCGAGTCTGTGACCCTGCCCCGGGGCACTCTTGACCGTCGAACCCCAGACGGACATACGGAATCCTGAACTCGACATTATTACTTGGGGAGAAGGACGGGAAAAAGAAGAAGGAGGAGAAGAAGAAGAATCGACAATTCATGCATCGCATCTACTTTACCCCATCCTGTACCATCACCACATCTACTCATACTAGTCATGATAACGACACCAATTCCGGACGGCGACCGTAGCGGGAACAGGCCCTCCCCCCTCCCCGGCCCGGGGCCCCCGGAGGGCCTCACCCCCTCGACGTATTCACCGAATGCTGGCCCGTCGACGGCACGGCAGAGGAGGGCTTGCTCTTGCGCCGGGCCGGCTGGTAGACGTCGTTGAAGTTCATGGCCACGCCGAGGAAGCGCATGTCCACGTCGGGCTGGTAGGCCAGGTCGCCGAGGAGGAGTTGGAGCCGGGTGCGGAACGACGATCCGAGGTGGCGCAACCGTTCCTGCAGGACGGGGAACTCGGACGTCACGCTGCCCGTCCCTTGCCCCGCCGCCCCGCCGCCGCCGCCGCCGCCGCCGCCGCCGCCGCCGTCGACGTCGTCCTGGTCGTCGGCAAAGTTGGTGCGCACGTCCGCCTCCTGGCGTCGGGTGAACTCGGACACGCTCCAGCTGTACAGCCCGTCCACCGCGTCCCGGTAGTTGAGCATGAAGCGGAGCATGTCGCCCAGCTGCGCCAGGTACGACGCCCTGTCGTCGTCGTCGGCCGACGCCGCCGTCGTCGGCCCGCGCCTCTTGGGCCCCAGGAGCCCCTTGTGCGTTATGTCGTTGAGGTAGGTCGTGTGGGCCTTGATGAAGTCGTCGAGCGTGCAGTCGTCCTTGCGGATGCGCTCCTGCAGCGCGTTCCACGACGACTCGATCACCTCGAACAGGATGTAGTACTGCAGCTGCCCGACAAAGTGTATCATCTCCGCCAGCGTGCCCCGCGTCGACTTCCACGCCTGGGCCACCACCTCGTCGTCGCTCTGCAGCACCCCGCGCGCGCCCGTCATGCACTTGCGCCACGTCGTCAGGAGCCCGAACTCGACGCGCTTGATGCGCCACAGGAAGTTGAAGACCTTGAGGTACTGCCTGTTGCCCCACTCCGTCACCACCACGTCCACCGGCGCGTCGATCTTGTACTCGAGCGTGAAGCAGTCCCACCCAATGTCCCCGTGCGACAGCTGCAGCATGCGCGCGTCCAGCCGCCGGAGCACCTCGGCCGAGTCGTGCTGCGCGTCGGACCCGCGTATCGCGTGCTCCAGCTGCGCCGTCAGCGTGTGCCGGTACTGCGCCCCCGCCGGCCGGTCCAGGTTCGGCGCCAGCGACTCCATCAGCAGCGCGATGAAGTCGCCCTTGCCCAGCAGTATGTAGTTGCGCAGCGCCGCCAGGTGCTCGTACAGGTGGAACTTGTTGGCCATCAGGTCGATCAGCCGCCGCATCGTCGTCTTGTATGCCTCGTCGATCCACGCCTCCAGCGTTGCCGTGTCCCCGTACCGCAGCTCCTTGGACGCGTCCTTGGAGTAGTTCTCCACCCACAGCGAGTCGCCGCAGCTGTTGCGGATGAAGTTGAGCGACTTGCCGATCAGGAACACCTTCTGCGCGAACGCCTCCGTGATCGTCGTCGGCACCATGTCCGGCGCGATCTCGTACTTGTCCTCCCACACGTTGCCTATCGCCTTACCCCTGCCCGTCCCCGCTCCGTCCCCTCTCGCCCCGGGCTCCCGTACGAAGAACTCGAGGTACGGATCCGACAGCTCGCCGTCGTAGATCCAGTGCCGCAGCAGGTCGTAGAATGGTCGCGTGAAGCTGCCCAGCAGCCTCTCGGCAAAGGCCGCCACCACCGGATCGCCGTGCGACGACGAGAAGCCGTGTATGAGCGAGATGAGCTGCCCTCCCTTCTTCTCTTCGGACTCCTCGGCGATGAGGCTCATCAGCCTCAGGCCCATGGTCGCCTCCCTCGTCCACACCACGCACCGCTTCAGCGTCACGCCCGCCTTACCGATGCCACCCCGCGGCGCCGTGTGGTCGATGGCCGAGAGGGCACGCCTTATCTGGCCCTCCAGCGTGGCGACGAGGCTGAGGTAGGCCCGCAGCTCGCTGCCCATGGCCGCCCGCAGGCTCTGGGACAGCAGGCCCTTGGCGGGGCTCTTGCAGAAGGTGTCGAGGCGACGGTAGAGCAGCGACGGCTCCGCCAGCGTGTGCAGGAGCGAGATGAGAGGCATCGGGAGCGAGGGCGGCAGCCTGAGGGTGTCCTTTGGCGTGAAGGGTAGAGTGGTCGACGACACGCCCTGCAGGGCAAAAGGCAGGTCGCGCAGGATGACGGCCTCCGGGGGGTCTATGTCGGCGCGGTTGCTGGCCAGCAGCGTCGACTTGAGGGACACGTCCCGCTTAGGTACGTCGCCGTCAGCCGCGCCATCCATGTTGCCTGGCTGGTCTCTGGCCTGGGGCGGCGGGAGCTTGGCCAGCCCTTCTGGCTGGAAGGCCTCTTTGAACTGCTTCTCCTCGAGCTTTGTCGGCTGCTGCGCCTGCGCCTGCGCCTGCGCCTGCGCCTGCGCCTGAGCCTGCGCCTGCGCCTGAGCCTGAGCCTGAGCCTGAGCCTGAGCCCGGGGCCTGTCCCGGCCCTGGCGCTTCATGGCTTCTCGGCTCACGGCATCGCGGTAGTTGGGTGCCGACGGCTTGACGGGGCTGATGGGGAGGGGTTCGCTGGGGTCTGGGGAGTCGGCTAGCTGGTAGAGGAGGTATAGGATGGCCCATTTATGCTCGAGGACGGGAAGAGAGAGGAGTCTGGAGTACAGGTTGGAGAACCGGAGCGCCTGTCCGGGGTTGCTCTGTATAAGCTTGCGCTTGATCAGATCCGAGGCGTGGTTGACGTCGGAAGAGACGGCCGAAGATGCTGGGCTGTTTAGAGACGTTAGATGATGCGTATTGCGCCGGGTAGGAGCTTGTATGTGATGTCGGCAGCTGCTGCTCACCTCTGAATCATAGACATGGCCTGCTCGAAGCGGGCGTCGTGCTGATTCTGGGCGGACTCATCATCCTCGTCGGGGTCGCGAGGGACAATGTGGGATATCAAGTTATCCAGGGCGTTGGCGACACGGTCGGGAGCCATGGCTGCATTGTTTTGGGGAGGGGGCGGTTTGGTGTGTGCAGACGATGAACGGGATGAGGGAGCCGACTGTCTTCTGGATAACCACGAGCAGCGTTCAGGAAGTTTTGACGTGTGTCTTCAGGGCGTGCTGGGGGGCGAAGCTGCTTTCGGCTCCTTTGGTTATACCACGACCGAAGACCTGAAAGATACACGCGCGCTCAGAGAAGCCCCAAGAGGGACGCGCGCGCGCTGGGCCATTTACAGCGGGCTGAGCACTAATAGCAGCAACACATCGGCCTGTGAGCTCGGGATTCTCCATGTATACGATACGATACACTCTCAAGGTAAGGTGTGCGTGAAAACCCATCTGCGAGAAGTACCTTGTACTCCCATTTACCTCATCTGGCAAAAGGGCCCTCTCCTCGCGAAATACCCATGGGACAACTTCACCCTCGATCCTCTTCCCGCGTCACCAACGTCCCTCCCTCTCCCAGTCCCTCTCCCAGTCCCTCTCCACCCCCCCCCCCCCAAAAAAAAACGCCGCGCCGCCATCAGCCACTATCGTCACGATGCCTGATGCATCAGTCTGACTGAAGCATTGGAATCGCGTGGTCTTCAGCAACCCCCTGCTGTATCCCATGAGCAATTTCCCCGGCGCCTCGAAGCGCATTTCGTCGTGCGCGACCAGCATCAGCATCATCATCATCATCATCAATCATTGTCGCTACCGAGTCCTATAACAACACAGCACGGCAGCATCTCGCTTCTGCCTACAGCGTCCCGACCGGGGACCCATAACCTCGTCCCATCTCAGAATCAGTCACACCGTTGCACGCATCACACCGGCCCCAGCTATGCCAGACATCGATCCTGCGGCTCTGAGCCGCCCGGCCGCCGCGGGGGCTATATCCACGCCTACGCTCTCGACAAAATCCATATCATTGAATGCGGCGGGCGGCGCACCAAAGTCCAAGACTAGCCAGATCGTTCCTCCTCGAATAGACCTCGAACCGTATTATGCGGCTGTCAAGGCTTTCATCCCACCAGATAAATGGGTGCTATATAAGGAAACTGTATGCAACCTAGCATATGGTAAGCATCTCCGATATACCCTCCTCCCTCCCTCGGTATACATGACCACCGTCCTATATACACGCAACTATCCTGACCCTCCCCGACACAGGCCGCCTCAACCAGTCCGAATTCTCCGCCATAATCGATCCCCTCGTCACCAGCGCCTCGGGTGAGAGGGAACACCTCCACAACCGGCTCATCCTCGCCATAATCGCCAATGTCACGCGCGAGATGCCAGACCAGGGCGTCGCCCCCTGGGTCAGCGCAGACGACAAGCCTGCCGTCCCTACAGGGAGCAAGCCCGTCACCGGTGATGCGGCCGAGAGGAGGCTCAAGGTTGGCGTAATGCAGCTGCCCGCCAAGGATAGGAGGAGAATCAAGGAGATGGTACACAACGACGTGTGTATCCCCCCTCTCCCCCCCCCCCTCTTTTCCACAGTATGCATCGCGTTCTCTAACGTCTTCTTGTTCTGCGCACACAGTTTGACCCGCAAGAGAGTCTGGTCAATGTCTTTTCAGATGTGCGGCGCAAACCGTCTGCCGCAGCCGAAGTGCCGACGAGTGCAACGGGAGGGATCAACAATATGAGTGAGTGTGCCCTTTCTGCCCTGGGACCCATGCTTCTCTCGGCCTATCTCTTGACCGGATCGGAGACACATGCTGACTAACGGACCCGCCAAGATTTTGACCTCGAGATCCGCAAACGCTTCAACCAACCGCTCGCCATCGAATCGGGCGAGTTCCCCGACGTCGGCACCATCGGTGGCCGCATGCTACCCTTCTGCTACGAGGCCGGCCTGGTGAGCGGCCACACAGCCGAGTCCCCGCAGCTCATGTCGGTAGCGACCGAGACGTTCATCAAGGACGTCCTCACCCAGATCTTCAGCCGGACGCGCAGCAACGGCCCCGGCGAGGCGGGCAGCTCCGGCTTCGGCGTGGGGACGACGTGGGTGCAGACGCACCAGTATAGCCGCCAGCTGCATGCGGAGGAGGACCTGGCGCAGAGCGGCAAGCTGATGCGTGACAAGAACGGCCTGCTCCCCGTCGAGGCCAAGGCCGCGTGCGAGAGGGGCGCTCTCAGCATGGCCGACGTGAGGGTGGCCCTCGAGATGGGCGACACGGGCATGGCCACGTTCCCCATCATCACGACGCAGATCCTGTACGGGTACAAGGAGGGTGAGCTGGAGAACTGGTCGGATTACACGTATTACAATGACCAGCAACCACCCGCCATGACGGAAGATGACTACGACAGCCCGTTCCTGACGAATGGGGCTGGCGGTGCAGGTGCCATCGAGCTGATACCCAACGGTGCAGATATCATGGACATCGACTCGGAACCCTGGTGGGAGGGTGCTGAGGGTCAGGATATTGACTCGCTGGACGGACTACTGGACTCTTGTCTTACTGCCAGCTCATAGTGAGCATGCTGTGTCCCCCTCCCCTTTTTTCTTGGAAAAGGACGGTGATTGAGTGTATATCATGATGAGAAGGGGAGAAGAATGGCGCGAGAAGAGAAAAAAAAACCACGGAGGAGTTCTATTGGCGCGTGCATTTCTTTTTTCTTCAACAGGAGGGCATTTGTTGAATGGCGTTTCCGGGCAAGGTTTCTTTTATTCCTCCCTTTTGCATCCTGTTTATTTTGGATACTTTGGCTTCTTTATTTTTATTACTTTTTTTCTTGTACCACTGTGGAAGCAGAAGAAGACGGCAGAGAGGAGGTCTGTTTCTCTGTAACGAAGGCGGTGGTGTCTTCTTCTTTTTTTAAAAAGTGTTTTACGATACCCGTCGAGAGGGCGCCGACGTACCAAGGTATAGAAGGAGTAATACCAGAATAAGTTAAAAGATCCAAGTGATAAGAGTGGTTGTGAGGTAGATGAGGTTGGCCATCTCCAACTGCCGGCATCGGAGGGGAGGGAAACATGTACCCCATCCTCGGGCACTTGCATGATCGACCAAAAGGTCACCCAGGCAAGTCATGTTGTGTAGTTTTTTTCCCCCTCTTCTGGTCATTGGTCCGATACTGTATGCAAGTTTCCTCTGTCCCTTTCATGAAGTGCCGATAAGAGAGGGGGACACCCAGGTGATGAAGGTGATGAGAAGGCAAGCAGCAGGGGCAGCGGCAGCAATGATAAGATTATGGAGTAGTAGATGGGAGAGAGATCGACGGAATAGTACAAGCAGTAGATAGATAGTATCGTAAAGGATACGTACGTGACCGGATGTGGAGGTGCTCCGTGCGCCCTCGGGCCTTGTCGAGCTAAACAGCAGATCTCCTCTGAACGGTAATAAGCACAACGTTGTCGTCTTACGAGGAGGCCTTCTTCTTGGTCAGGGCAGCAACAGGAGGGAAGGGTACAAGAATTAGAGACGACTCCCCCACCTCAAAGTGGCGTCAAGATGCTGCACTGGTCCAACAACCATTACGGTATGTGCCTGCTTGCCACACTCGTGAGAGGAAGGGAAAAGAAGGAAGAAGGAAGGAGGAAATCTCCACTGGAAAGGGGGGCGGGGGGGCAGGCTGATTGGTAGCAACCTCCCCCTCTCTCTCCTCACGATCCACACACACGTACTTTTCCCGCTGGAGAGAGAGAGAGAGACGGAAAAGGCATGCAGTTATGCAGTCATGCAGTTATTCTGGTAATTCGAGATGCCGTGCGAAACAGTCAACCAGCTGTGGACATGTGTGTGCGTGTGCGTGTGTGACGTAAATGTGGGAGGGGGTGTCGTCTTAAACGGTTTCGATGTCAGGGCTGCATAAGGGATGGGATCTGGGGTGAGGAGCCTAAAGGGGGGGGACTCTCACAGGGAGAGGGAGAAGAGAGAAGGAGAGAGAGAGAGAAGGAGAGAGAGGTATTGTAGTGCTTCCCTCCTACCGTGATGGAGAGCCAATAATTACATGTATGCCTTGGAATGGAGAGCTTAACAGGGTCCCGTGAGAAGCTTAGCAGAGCTTATACACCACTGTAGGCTTGTAGCGGTCGTAATGCTGTGCTCCGTTGCAGCGTCCCGCTGACCCTTTTAGTACTAATATTATGGAAGGTCGGGTCCATACCGGTGCTAGTATTGATATATGTAATCTCTACAGATTAGTGCCTGCTGATAGCGCAGTACAGTGCTGCGGTGCTGGCTGCAGTACCGCCGCTCCGTCTATGCACCGGCCAAATGCTGATCTGTGCTCTTTCCTTCTAGAAGGCTTCCTCTTCCCACCTGCCGTCCTGTACTGACTCTTCCGAGTTTCAATCCCCCCACTTGCGTCTTTCCCTGCGTCCCGCCTTTCACCTGGCACCTTTCCTCTCTTTCCCTCCTTTCCTTGTCTCCATTCCCCGGTTCTCAAATCATTCCTTGGCCCCGGCTTCATGCTCGTATTGCCTCATTCTGTATTTCCTTCCTCCTTTCATACACCACGTGCCCATCCGTCATACTCTCAAGTCCACTGGCGTTTCTGGGCTTCTCCTTGTTCCTTCCCCCGTTTCCACTCCCTCCCTCCAAGACGATAGACAGAATAGCTACCCTCCCTCCGTCCGTCTGCCCGCTACCGTCGCCGTCCAGAGCTTGGCACGTCTCGGACTTCGTTAGCTGTCTCTCATACCTCTCTCTAGAAACAGAAAGAGGGCTTCTTCAGAGACCTCTTCTTCTCTCTGCCATCTCGTGGCAGAGCGACGACGGCCGCCACCACTGACGGGACAGCCTAAAAACCCTCCCCTCCCGTCGCTCGCCATCAACGCCCCGCCACGGCACGTCACCAGTCGCGCTCGGTTGTGCCTGAAAGGTACGTCGGCCAACTTTGCTTTCCACACCTACCTGCGCCTGCTATCCTGTCTTTCCTTTGGCCCGAGTGCCTGTCTCCCTTGCCCGCTGGCTGGCTTCCCCTATTCTCCTTGTCAAGACGTCCAAGCCCGTGGCGTCACACCCTGCTGGCTACCAGCTGAGCCCACGACCACCACCTGTTGACTCGTCCGTACTCAACCTGTTGATGACACCTCAACGCAATGTGCTGTTCTACATGGACCGAGCTGATTACCTTGGCTTCACGTCTTTGCAGACTCTATAGATTGCTGCCTTGACCTCCAAGGCGCGGCGCCCATTCCAGCATACCCAACTAGCGCCATTATTCACCGTCTTCCGACACCTACAATCGCAACCATGGCTGGCCAATTCACGAGCCCCTTTGCTGCCAACGCGAACCCCTTCGGCAACAGCCGATCCCAGATGCAGAGTCTGGCCGAGGAGGATGAGAATGGACCCCCGGACCAGGCCCCCATCTTCGGTGGCGACGCCAGCACCGACGCCCCTCCCACCTCCATGTCGCCCCCGAACCCCGACAGCTACCCAGCCCAGTACAACTTCAACCGCCGCACCTCAGTTTCGGCTGAGTCGTTGAAGCCCAGCGCCGATACATATGACAACTGGTCTCCTCCTAAACACGAAAAGAGTCCGGAGCAGCTGGCCAGGTTGAAAAAAGCTATCGAGTGCAACTTTCTCTTCAATCACCTCGATGATGAGCAGAGCGGCCAGATCCTGAGTGCTCTGATGGAGAAACCCGTGCCTGCAAAGGATATCAAGGTACGCAGCCCCCAATTCCATATACACCTCGTGGGAAGAGAGAGAGAGAGAGAGAGAACGAGAACGAGATACTAGTATAAAGGTCCACAACTAACACCTGTTGCTTCCTTTCCTAACAGGTCATCATCCAAGGCGACGCTGGCGACTTCTTCTACGTGGTCGAGAAGGGTTCCTTTGATGTCTACGTGAACCCAACTGGCCAAGTCCAGCCCGGCCCCGACGGCGTGGGTGCCAAGGTTGGCACCATCGAGGCTGGCGGCTCGTTTGGAGAGCTTGCCCTCATGTACAACGCCCCTCGTGCCGCCACCGTCATCTCGGCCGAACCGAGCTGCACCCTGTGGGCACTGGACCGTGTCACCTTTCGCCGCATCCTGATGGAGTCAACGTTTGCCCGCCGACGCATGTACGAGAACTTCCTCGAAGAAGTGCCTCTCCTGGCCTCGCTCACCGCCTACGAACGCTCCAAGATTGCTGACGCCCTGGAGACGCAAAAACACCCCCCGGGCGACGTCATCATCAAGGAGGGCGACCCTGGCGACTCGTTCTACCTACTCGAGACTGGCGAGGCTGATGCCTACAAAGGCGACGACAAGGTGCTCCACTACACCAAGGGCGACTTCTTTGGCGAGCTGGCGCTGCTCAATGATGCGCCCCGTGCAGCTAGCATCGTGGCATCGACCGATGTCAAGGTGGCTTCGCTGGGCAAGAATGCCTTCCAAAGACTGCTCGGCCCCGTCGAGGGTATTCTTCGACGGACAAAGTATGAGGGCGTCAAGTCGGGCGTCGAGGAGATGGACCCACTGCATACCAGCTGAAGACGGATACACCTGGTTTGGACGAGGTAGCTTTGCGTTGGTTCTCTTGTTTTAAAAAATTCTCTTTACCCTTCTCTTTAATTATTTATTCCGAAACCCCTTATTCTTGCGTATCTTTCCATGTATCTCTTGGGCCAGTCTCTGAGGAGTGTTGGGGAGGGCGACAATATCTGCTTTGGAGGACGGCATATCATCAGTCAGGACGGGGCAGGGTGATACTGCAAGAGAGTCCGTGATGGTATTATTGGTGAAAGCATTTGAACGACTGAATCCTCCATGTAATACTACACTGCTCCATGTGCTACTAAACAAAACGCCATGTGCTGTATTGGGCCAGCAGAGCTGCAGTATGGCGTGGCCCGTATGTGTTTCATCCGACGGCACGACGTTTCTCACAACGTCACTGTGCGGCCCTTAGGGTTTTTCGAGTCTGGGTATACATGATTGAGTCGCGCTGCTAGCGCGGTAACGCCCCCTTTGGTGTGAGCAGCTAGCCAGCGACTGCATCATGATGTCTGTTGCTTCTCTCTCTCTTCCTTGTTCTTTCCGTGGCACGCACGCACGCACCGAACCTCTCACTCGGGAGCGTGCTGGAGCTGGTGCTGCCGGAGCGCCCCGGCGGCCAGCTCGTCCCGGATCTGGGCCCTGAGGGCTTCGACGGCGATCTCTGTCTCGAGGACCCTCCCGACGCCCCTCTTCCAAGTATCCTCGAGGACGTGCATCTCGGTGCGGACGTCCTCCTGGCGGCGTCTCCTCTCAATGTTGACGCGGTCGATGTCGGCCCTCGTGGCGGCCAGGTCGGCCTCTACGCGGCGCAGCTCGGCCTCGAGGTGGTGGTTGCCGAGGAGCCAGGCGTTGCGTCCGTGACGGTCGAGGAGCTCGAGCGTCTGCAGGCGGGAGGAGAGATACGACTCGCCGACGTAGGCGGCCTCTAGGACGCGAAGGTGGGTGGACGCCGGCTCCCGCGGGGGAGGGGCCTCCTGGGCCTCGTAGCGGGACAGGCTGAGGGACTGTAGGGCGGTGCCGGAGGCGGCGCGGGCGAGCTCGATGGCCATGATGTCCGAGAATGATGGGGATGGGTGCTGAGGGGGGGATGGGGGGGGGTCTCGTCGTTGCTGCTCGGCTGAGACGAGGGCGCGGGCTGCGTCGAGCTCGGACGGTGTGGGCTCCGTGTCGATGTCTGTTTTTGATTCGTATTAATGTATAATTCATTTATTTATTCATCATGTATTTTGGTCTCTGCCAGATGGGCGAAGAGGGGGGGGGGGGTCATATGGTTCTTACAGGGGAGGGACTCGTGGTAGGCGGGTGGGATGGCCATGATGAGCAGTCGGATGGTTGCGTATAAACTGTGTTTTGGTGATGTGTTGGATGGAGGGGGGTGTTTTTTGTTTGTTTGTTTGTTCCATGGAATGCGTGCGACGGGCGCAACTTTCTGATCCCTCCCAATTGTTGGAACAAGCAGCTGAATAAGCTGTCGGAACAGATTATTCCGGTCCGGTAGGAGCTGTCATCGATAAAGCGACCTCTGTACTCTGTAGTTGGTTACTATTTCCCTTGTGAGAAATAGAAAGTAGAAAATATAATACTATTATAGAATTATATATTATCGTCAAGAAGGCAGGCAAAAAAAAAAAAAAAAAAGTCATACTCCTATCCCTTTCTATCATTACATGAGCGAATAAATTATCCAGATACATCCTCCTTCTGACCTGACACCTCAGACGAGCTGTTTACTGACATTATCCCGCCGCTGATCCCACCCCACCTTGAAGCATACCAGCGCTCCATGCGGCACCCCTGGTGCGATTATAATATCAACAGCAAGCATCGCATTGCTGCTCGTCTCCTCTGGTCTCTAGAGCAGGCTCTAGAGTAGGGATCATCACTTACTAATGTTACTCTTATACGGGGGAGTATCGTGTCGGTCTAATCCCCTTTGCATGTTGCTACTCCGTTGCCCCCCCCCCCCCCCCCCCCCTTCTGCATTCATGTCGAAATTCACAAATTCCATCGTGCCATGTGCGCATAAGCGTAAGCACGTATTGACCGAATCGGCAATCGATGGATGGGTTCGAGATGTAAACCTGCCCGTCCGACGACCTGAAGCTTAGCCTTCATATCAGATGCCACAGCGATCGATGCCACGCAATACTGTCATGCGGTTAATGTAGAGGTCTCCCAGGAACAGCCAACAGAGAGGAGGAAACCGCGCGCATCTCCGGCTGTGCAGTCATGTGTCCTCACTACCCAGGTAAAGATGAACGGGACATGATTGCCAATCGCGGCTCTAACCAGGCTTGGTTGGATACCCGGCAGTCTGCAGCAGAAGTGTCTGAGAAGGAGAGAGTCGCTGCTTTGGGAGGCGGAACCGCCGCGGTAGCATGGGCTTCTGGCCAGCCGGCAGTCCTTTAAGCAGTCTCGTGTATCTAGCTCGATGCCGGGGATGACAGCTGATGCATGAACCGCTCTCTATACGGTGGTAGCTACAGCATGTTCAGAGACGCTTCTACCTCTCGTATTGGGTATTGGGGTGACTGCCATCTAGATGGGTGGCTAGTGGCAACGCTGAGGACTACCGGCCGCTCACTGACAATCGGGACGGGGCTGGTCTTTGCGGAGACAGTGGACAATCCACGTGTCAGTATCCCGGATCTCTGAGAAATCGTCGATGTCACAGATGAGTACTCGGTTCCCCCTTACGGCTTGTCCGCTGCCCTCTCCCTCGCTACGGAAGGCACATGGAACCTTGTGCTCTCATATCCTCCTTTTCTTGGTTTCGTTTTCTCATGCCGTGCGTGCATTGCATAGGTTGCTAACACCTTTGGAGCAGGGGGGTTGGGGCGCCCCGTGATCTCTCTCGGTGCCGACACTGCCGTCCATTCTGCAACCAAGTAGTTGGGCGGCCACGGCAGAGCTGTCGGAGGCGTCATCGTAGACTCGGGATGCACGAGGTGGCTGTATGTAGAGCTGTGGCGCATGAGTAAGCTCGACGGAAGGGTATTATGATGACGAGAGAATAGAGGAGAGGAGAGGAGATCTGAAGCAGATACAGACAGGAATGAAAGCAGAAGAAGAGGTTTCTTATACGGTGGAAGTCCCTAGGTGAAGAACACGTCAATCCCATTTATGCATTTTATCTACCATCATCTAACCTGCCCTTCCCTCCCCCCCCCGGAAATCCATACGCCACGACAAGAAAAGAAGAGAAAAGAAAGAAAAGAGAGAGAGAGAGAGAGACAAAAAGCCCCGATAGACAGATGGTGATTCTATTTCAGATCAGCCAGAGCGTCGTCGATCGAGCGACCGGTCAACTTCTCAAAAACCTCCCTGTACTTGGCGGTCGTCTCCCTGACGACGTCGTCTGGGAGGGAGACGCCCTGCTTCCCCTTGAGTCCGTTGTCGATGAGGTACTGCCTGACGTACTGCTTGTCGAAGCTGGGCTGGTCGACGCCGACGCGGACGGGGGCCGGCCAGAAGCGGGAGCTGTCCGGGGTGAGGACCTCGTCGACGAGGACGATGTCGTCCGTGGCCTCGTCGAGGCCGAACTCGAACTTGGTGTCGGCCAGTACGATGCCGCGCTCGAGCGCGTAGGCGTGGGCGGCACCGTACAGAGCGAGGGCGAGGGACTGGATCCGGTCGGCGTAGCGGTCGCCGACGATCTCGCGCGCCCGGTCCGGCGAGATGTTCTCGTCCGACCCGCCGGCCGGCGCCTTGGTCGAGGGCGTGTAGATGGGCCCGCCCGGGAACCTGTCGCAGCGTCGGAGGCCCTCGGGCTGCCCGAGTCCGTGCACCGTGCCCGCGCGCTCGTACTCGGCCCAGGCGCTGCCGGTGATGTAGCCGCGCACGATGGCCTCGATGGGGAACACCTTGAGCGACCGGACCTGCAGGCACCGGCCACGCAGGGCGGCCGCCTCGTCCGCCGTCACCACCGACGGCGTCGCCGGCGCGTCCGTGCTCAGCATGTGGTACCTCAGCCCCGGCACCTGCGAGCCCAGCACGGAGAACCAGTGCGCCGACATCTGGCACAGGATCGCCCCCTTGTCCGGTATCCCGCTGTCGAGCACCACGTCAAAGGCTGAGATGCGGTCCGTCACCGCCATCAGGAGCGTCGTCTCGTCGATCCGGTACAGCTCGCGTACCTTGCCGGTCGTCACCAGCGGGAGGGACTTGAGTCCGATCTGCGTCACGGCTGTCGGCATCTTGTGTGTCTCCTTCTTCTTCTTCTCTCCTTCTTTATTTGTTTTTTTTCCTTTGTTACTGTGTAGCTTTGGATATCGAATATATCCCTCCTTCTCTCTTCTTCTGAGAAACACTGAACGACTTGCTCTAACCTTTTACTCTGATTGACAAAAGGTTGAAAGTTTGGTCATTGAACGTGGGGGGGGATGCACGTGATTTGTTTCTGTCCCTCCTCCCCCACCATTTCTCTCTCTTTTTTTTTTTCTTATTTCTTTTGCCGCTCTGAATCCGGATCCACGTCATCGCCGGATTTTGATTTGGTAGTGTGTATTAATTACGTCTTGCTGCATTTGCGAGTATCGTGAGAACCCCTTCCCCCCCCACACACACAAAGTATCGAACCGGCTTCAAAATGATATGAGGAAAAAAAGAAAACAGTTGTCTCATCTGATCAAAGGAACCCATTTGATCAAAGGTACCGACTATAGAATACTCAAGTTGACAGTTTTGATTACAAGTCGTCACGCCAACGGGGCATAAAAAAAAATAAAAAAGACCAAACCATCTAAGCCTGACAAGTAGACTTGTCCTCCTCTTCCTCAGAAATCAATCGTCTCTCTTGTCCCGGACACGCAGGGCCCTCCTGCCCAATCATGTCGGTGGTAGCTTCGCGCAGGATATCCTTGAACTTGTTATAGGCCATGACCTCGATGGCATCGCCACCTCGCGACTCGAAGATGTCCTGCTCGACCTCGTCCAGTCTGTCGGCCCAGACGTCGTCCAGGAGGAAGTCGAGGACGTCCTGGATGTCGGTGCCGCAGACGCCGTCGCACGGCATGCCCTCCCGCGCGACCTCAGCCACCTTGACCTGCGGGCAGTAGCCAGGCACGTGCGTCCTGCGCCCGTTGGAGCTCCCGCTTTCGGCGGCCGCCTCGGCGTCCCTGCACCGCCTGTAGCGGCGGCAGGCCCTGCGCCGGCTGCGCGCTGACGTCTTGGGCTTCCTGGCTTTGCGCAGCCGCGACCTGTATATCTTCTTGGCTTGCCGGTACAGTCGGGAGAGGAAGTCCTTCCTCTCCATCCGCGCAGCCTTCTTCTCCTCCTTCGAGGCGAGCCGCGAAGCCCGCGCCTGCCCGGCCACCAGCTTCCTGTAGGCTCTGCGGTCCTCCCTGTCCAGGCTGTCCATCATCTCCCGCTCCGCCGACCTCGTGTCGCGGTCTGCCTGGCACCGCTTGTCCATCCGGAGCTCGTTGACGATGCGCCACAGCGACTCGGCGCACCGGTCAGACTCGTTCGGCCCCCGGAGCACGTCCAGGAGCGTCGTCTTGCCGCGGTTGAGCTCGGCTATGCGCGCTCTCCTATCCGCCTCGTGGTCCCGCGGCTGCCTGTCGTGCCATATCGTCGTCGGCACTGGAGTGTAGTCGTCTGCCGTGTAGGGGGGAGGCTGCTTGCCCCTCAGCAGGGGGGACCAGCGTGTGTCTGGAATGCCGTCGGTGTGGATGGGCGGCGCGGAGAAGACGCTTAGGGAGAGTGCCATGGCACCGAGGAAGATGTTGGACAGCTTCATGCTGCGCGCGTCTATGTTTTGTCTAGCTTCGTAGCTTGCGACTCGGTTGTTGTTGTTGTTGTTGTTGTTGTTGTTGTTGTTGTTGTTGTTGTTGTTGTTGTTGTTGTTGTTGTTGTTGTTGTTGTTGTTGTTGTTGTTGTGTTGTGTGTATGTGTATGTGTGTGTGTGTGTGTGTGTGTGTGCTGATGATTGCTAATGGGGTTGGACTGTTGGTATTCGAACAAGTCTGCTGTATTGCTGGAAAGAAAGGATAGAGAATGAGAGAGCAGGATCGAGACATATCACGTTCATGTTTATATACCCATAGCGACTACAGAGTTTCAACTCCCAATGTAAACAAACAGCAAGCTCTGGAGTATGATGCCAAATACTTTCAGACTTGGCAAGTTTAAACCATGATGACATCGACGGTACTGTGTCGCCGACACATGTTTATTCACATGTAATCACAGCTTAATACCGTCGTATCAGCATCGTCAAAAATATCAATCATCTTTACATGACACCGTGGTATCAAAACTCGGGAAAGTCCCTTGGGATGGATGACAAATAAAATCGTATATATAGAGAGGTCCAATCTGATTATCCCTCCAGTCTCGTGAAAAAAAAAGAAAGAGATCTTGATAACGTAAGTCGTGTAGAGAGAAGGAAGAAAAAATGCAAAAGCAAAAGTAAGAAGGTTGGAGAGAGAAAAAAAGTTGATATACAAATGAAAGACAGTCAAAAATGACGAGATATAAAAAGAAGGAAATCCACACATATTTGGTACATGAGAGGCCGTCGAATACACGAATACACCATGCTGCATCTCACACGTCCGGCTCAAGAAAAAAGAAAATCGTCATCCGCCGAGGAATGAGAGGAAGACAACCCCTTGGAACTCGGGCAGCCCTTAGGTGAAGATCTTCTTAAAGGCTGCCTTGATTCCAGCAGGCCTCTTCTCCTCCTCCTTGGCCCTCTTGCGCTCCTGGTGCCTAGCTTTCCTGGCGGCGTCCTCCGGGGGAGACCGCGGCGGCTTGGCATCGTCGACGGAGATGGCAGGGACATCGGCACGCTCCTGCTTCTCGGACTTCTTATCGTGGTCGAGAGTCTCCTCGACAAAACCGCGGTGGTGGCTCTTCGAACGACTAGTGCTGGGCCTCCTGAGGCTTCCGCTCCTAGCCCGCTGGTCAACAGCGTCATCGCGCATGGTGGACGACGAGTTGGACGACTGCAAGCCGCGCAGGACACCCTCTGCGTGCCTGAGCTCAAAGAACCTCTTCTCGGGGAGGCCGCCCTCGTCGAGGATGGGGCCGGGCGATGGAGTGGGGGCGACGCTCTCCTTTGGAGGCTCGGGGCGGTTGCGGTGGCTCGAGTGACTCGGTCGGCGGGACCGGTGGCGGTGCTTCTCCTTCTCGTCGGAGTCGCTCGTGGCCCTGTGTCGGGAGCGGGACATCTCCTCCCGACCGCGCTCGCGCTCGCGCGTCTTCTCCTTGGCGCGGCGCTCCTCACGGCGCTTCTCACGAGCTTCTTGCCCCTCCGCCATGCGGCGTTCCTCGCGGCGCCTCTCCCGCTCGATTTCCCGGAGAGCCTTCTCCTTCACCTCGGCTGCCAGGCGCTCTTCCAGGAGCTTCTGCTCCCTGCGTCGCTCCTCCCTATCCTTGGCCCTTTCATCCCTCTCCTTGGTCCTCTCTCCTCTCTCCCTGTGCCTCTCTTCCCGCTCCTTATGTCTCTCGTCCCTCTCCCTATGCCTCTCCTCCCTCTCCTTGTGCCGTTCCTCCCTCTCCTTCAGCCGCTCCTCCAGGTATTTGTCGTCCTTGTATCTGTCGTCCTTGTATTTGTTGTCGTCCTTGTATTTGTCGTCCATATATCCATCATCCCTGTGACGGTCAACCTTGTGATGGTCCACCTTGTGACGATCATCCTTGTAACGGTCGTCCTTCTTGTGACGATCGTCCCTGTGGCGGTCGTCCCGGTGTCGGTCGTCCCTACGCCTCTCGCGGACGATCAGCTCGTCGGGAGCAATTCGCTCTCCCCTGCGGCGTTCACGCGCAGTCGCCGGGTCCTCGGACACTCTCTTCTTGCGGTCGGAGCTTCCAGGGCTGCCCTGCGAGAATCCACTGTCGCGGCGCTGGGGGCTCCTCGGTGGCGTATGCGAAGAGCCAGACTCAGTGTTTTCCGAGTGGCGGGAGCGATGGGAGCGCTGAGAACGTCCCTCACGAGAGCTGGGGACCTCGCGAGAGCTAGGAACTTCGCGAGATCCACGGGTGGCATGCGAAGAAGAGTGGTGCGTGCGGCGCCTCGTCTCCCTCTCCTTCTCCTTCTCCCTCTCCCCCTCCCTCTCCTTCTCCTTGAAGTCCTCGTCGAAGCGAGGCCTCGACTGGCTGGACTGGGCGGAAGAGGGACGGCGGCGGCGGTGCCTCAGCTCCTTCTCCCTTTCGCTTCGCAAATCGACGTCTTTACTCTTATCGCCTGCGGAAATGTCAGCTTCGTGTTAATGTCGGTCATCAAGCTCAGTGGGGAAATCGTGCTCACCTTTCTTGGGCTTCTCAGGCCTCTTCTCAGCCACGGGGATCGGCACAACAAAGTCCTCGGCCTCCTCCTTCTCCTCCTCCTCGGTTTTCTCAGCCGGAGGGGACTCCTTGGCTGCAGGTGGCTCCTCGGGCTCGACAGACTCGGGTTCAGCAGCAGCAGGCTCTGGTTCCGCAGCGGCAGGCTCAGGTTCAGCAGCGGCAGGCTCGGGTTCCGCAGCGGCTGGCTCAGGTTCAGCGGCGGCTGGCTCAGGTTCAGCAGCGGCTGGCTCAGGTTCAGCGGCGGCTGGCTCGGGTTCCGCAGCGGCTGGCTCAGGTTCAGCAGCGGCTGGCTCGGGTTCCGCAGCGGCTGGCTCCTCCACCGGGACCGGTTCGGGCTCTTCAGGCTTCTCATCCTCGACGGGGGCAGGCTCCCTAGATACGGGCTCCTCGGCCGGAACAGGTTCAGGCTCGGCAGGCTTCTCCTCCTCAGCTGCCGCAGGTTCTTCGACTGGGACGGGCTCAGGCTCGGGTTCAGCAGACTCCTCCTCCTCGGCCGGAGCCTCGAGCTCGGCAGGTGCCTCTGGTTCGGGTTTAGGCTCGGCAGGCTCCTCATCCTCGGCCGGGACGGGCTCAGGTTCAGCTGCGGCGGGTTCGGGCTCGGCAGGTGCCTCCTTCTCGACCGGCTTAGGCTCGGGCTCAACCGGAGCCTCAGCCTCGGGAGGTGCCTCCCGCTCCGCAGGCTCTTCTTCTTCAGCCGGCTTTTCAGGCTCTTCGGGAACAGGCTCCGGCTCTGCTGCGGCAGGTTCCGGTTCCTGTGCCTTCTCTTCTTTTTCTTCTTCTTCTGCGGGCCTCTCCTCCTCTTCTGGCTCAGCAGGCTTCTCCGGTTCGACTGCGGGCTCGAGCTCGGGCTCGGCAGGAGCAGCCCCTTCCACTTCAGTTTCTTCGGGATCCTTTGCTTCGGCAGCGGGGGCGTCTTCGTCCTTGTCTGCATCGTCTACGGCGGCGGCGGCAGCAGCCTCGTCAGCCTCATCAACCTCATCGTCGTCGGCCGGCTTCTCGGGGGCCTCGTCTGGGGCAGGCGCAGGCTCTGGTCCAGCGGCTTCATCGGTGTCCGCAGCAGGGGCCTCTTTTTCTTTCTCAGTCTCGGCCTCTGTCTCGGGCTCTGCGACAGCTGGCTCAGCTTCTACCTCTGCCTCGTCCCCAGCCAGCTCTTCAGCAGGAGGTTCGCCATCTTCGGCTGGGGCGACTTCAGCGGCTTCAGCCTCCTCCGGGACGTCCGCCGCCTTCTCCTCGTCCTTTGCTTGGTTGTCGCCGGCGTCATCATCCCAAGACTCGGGGGGATCTTGCTCTGCTGCATCAGCAGCTAGCTCCTTCTCTTCCTCCTTGTCCTCGGGCTTGTCGTTCGGCTCATCTGCAGCCTCGGCCGGTTTCTCTTCCGCTGCAGGCTCCTCGATGGGCTCAGGATCAGGCTCAGCAGCCTTCTCCTCCTCCGCAGGCTCGGGTCCCTCTGCCTCTTCAGGTGTGGCCTCCGGCGCTTCTGCCGGCTCTTCAGGAGCAGAGTCGGCAGGTGCTTCGGCGGCCGCTTCAGGCTCAGCCTTGTCTTCCCCCGCAGGGGCATCCTCTGCCTTGTCGTCTTCAGCGGCCTTGGGCCCAGCCTCAGGCTCGACCTCGGACTCAGCAGCCTTCTCCTCCTCCGTCTCAACAGCCTCGGGCTCAACCTCGGGCTCGGCAACCTTCCCCTCCTCCGCAGGCTCGGGCTCGGGTTCCTCTGCCTCTTCAGGGGTGGCCTCCGGCGCTGCTGCCGGCTCTTCAGGAGCAGAATCGGCAGGTGCTTCGGCGGCCGCTTCAGGCTCAGTCTTGTCTTCCTCTGCAGGGGCATCCTCTGCCTTACCATCTTCAGCAGGTACCTCGGGCTCGGCGGGCTTTTCGTCCTCGGCTTCGGGGGCAGCTCCCTCTTCGGCCGGCTCATCTGCGGTTGCCTCGGGGGCCTCAGCCGCGTCGGCGGTGTCAGGCTCTGCAGGCGTCTCTTCCGCAACCTCTGCCGGGGGCTCGGGCTCTGCAGCTGCCTCAGGCTCGGGCTCAGGCTCGGCTGGCTTCTCCTCCTCGGCTGATGCGGGCTCCTCGGCCGGAGCTTCGGGCTCCGCCGCAGCTGC